TAGCGGGGTATACTGGGATAAGTCCGAACGAGATGTAAAGCTATCAGAAAACAAGCTTACAAAAACAGTGGCTTATAGCCTAGTTGCGAGTAATCTGCAAGGCCATGTCTCAAGCTCAGCATTTCAGCGCGAATTACTCAATAATATTATAAAGCCGAGCTGAGCGGACGGTGGGAGGATCCCAAGTACTGTCGGAGACTACAGTAACAGGCCCGTCTGACGAAGTCCGAGACAGCTCAAGAGCTCACACTTGGTGCGGCCACCACTTGACAACTTCTCCATCGCCTCTACTGTTTTCTTTATTCTCCTTTTCTCTTGTTTTTCCCTTTATCGCGACTGCATCTCTTCTTCGCGCCCCCCCCCTCTCCTCCTCCTCCTCCTCCTAACCCCCGTTTTCTGTAATCATCCCTCTCCGCCTCTCCCCTCTCTCTTTTCTCGCCTATCATGTTCCTACAAAACACAAAGAAACAAAGACAAAAGCTCAACAAAAAAATGGAGTGATTATGGATTGACAATATCATTATGGTAGGCTACCACCCAAATACTACGATTTAGAGAAAAAAATCAAACCAAACATTCACTCCCACTTCTCCGCCCCCCCCCCCTCCCACCCCCCAAAAAATATTAAAAAATAAAAAAATAAAGAGAAAACAACATAGTAAAATTCGACACAATGAAACATGTCTAGACCTAAAGGTGGCCCCAAATACAAGCAAAAAGTTTCATTAAGTAAAAGCCAAGCCAACAATAATATTATTGTTGAACCAAAACAAGTGTCACAATTATTATTTCCTAATGCTCGGGGATGAGTTGAAATATGCAAACTAGGCATATTATTAGTTCTTTGTTTTCTTTTTTTAAAAATCATTTTTAATTTTCAGCTTCTTAATCTGTGGTAACGGTTGAATAAGCTTGAGAAGTAGTTAGCCAAGATTCAAATTCTAAAGTTGATAAAAGCGAGGAAACATCTATGAAGTATGTGGGCTAACGCTTGTTAGAATATATTGTTACGCTATTTCTCTCTCTTGAAAATAAATTGTGCGTTTTTGGCTTTGGACATGTTAGGCCTTTCCCGACGGTATAAACAGTTTACTGTAAACTGTTCCATATATTCACTTCTGTCCCTTTCTCTGTCTGTCTGTCTGTCTGTCTGTCTGTCTGTCTGTCTGTCTGTCTGTCTGTCTGTCTGTCTGTCTGTCTTCATCACTATCTCTGTCTTTGTCTCTGTATCTGTCTTTCTGTCTCTGCCTCTCTGACTCTGTCTCTCTTTCTGTCTCTCTGTCTGTCTCTGTCTGTCTGTCCGTCTCTCTCTACCTTTCTCTATCTATCTGTCTTTCTCTCGTTCTCTTAGAAGAACAGACAATAGGATAAAGAAACTCTATCACATGTGAACATACTAGAACTGTATGAAATAGTGTCATTATTATCATCATGTGCTTAGTAGGCATTTTTTCTTGCACCCATCAGAAAACATAACACCATAATATGAGTGCTCTGTCGTGAGTCACGAGCTGATCTCATGTTCGGAGATGTTCATTTTATTGTGCTGACTTTTCCTTTTTTATCCGTTTTTGTTTTAATGGTTAGGTTCTTCTTTTTGTTTTTGTTTTTGCTTTTGTTTTGCGTCTTAGGGTGCATTTTTGTACATTTTTGTTATTTCTTTCGTGAGTGTTTTTTTTAAAATACACTTTTTCTTTTTGTCATTGCTTTTTTTTTCACTTATTGTGTTTTTTGTTTTTGTTTTTATTCGGATAGGAAACACGGAAAAATAATCCAAGAGCCAGAGTCCCACAGACAGTCACAGGTCAAGTGGTCTCCCCCCTTTAGCTGTGTCCGGGCGCCAAATATGGGCATCATGGGACCGTGAGAAACGGAGCGAATCTGTGTTATCGTCCCTGATGACCACGCCCCTCTTGGGTGACGGGTCACGTGACCAGGTCTGGCCGAGCTGGCTGCAAAAAAGAGATGTCCTCGGCCTGTTCTCGTCACTTCTGTCTGGTCTCAGTCATCGGGCAACATGGCACCTGCGGCATCACTCGCTCTTCTCGCTCTGGTGAGTTGGAATAATTAATTCTTCTTAGCCTTGCCTCCTTCTTCGTCTCTATCTATCTATCTGTCTGTCTTCGACATTGTTTTCTTCATATTACTAATATAACGCCTTCTTCTTCTTCTTCTTCTTCTTCTTCTTCTTCTTCTTCTTCTTCTTCTTCTTCTTCTTCTTCTTCTTCTTCTTCTTCTTCTCTTTTTCTTCTTCTTCTTCTCTTTTTCTTCTTCTTCTTCTTCTTCTTCTTCTTCTTCTTCTTCTTCTTCTTCTTCTTCTTCTTCTTCTTCTTCTTCTTCTTCTTCTTCTTCTTCTTCTTCTTCTTCTT